TGCCAGTTTCCTCATCTGTAAAAGGCAGGTCACAATAACTACCAGGATTCAATGAGTGAGCGCAGGTACAGGCTTTGGCCTCGTCCATGGCTGGCCCATTGTAAGCGCTTGCTGCACGCTGGCTGCCACTGGAATTACTAGGAGCTCAGGCAGGAAAGACAAAAGGCTTCGTTTACTGTGACTGTGGCCTGGTGATTAACTGCACACTCAGAGGATATTTTCCATGAGTTCCGTGTGGGGGAAATGAATATGTAAATCCCTTTTACCGGCGCCTTCATGTTAAGCTCCGGAGAGGAGCAGAGGGGACCACAAATGTGGGACGTTATGAAGGAGCAAAGCGGGTGGTGGTGGCAAGACAGAGAGACGCCCCCTTTCCCCCAGGCGGCGGCTGAGCCCTTGGCTGGGGTCAGGGGCCACTAACCGACAGTGTGATTGTGTGATTTGGGGCAATTTCCTCCCCGCTCTGGGCCTCGGTTTCCACTTCCCACCCTGGTGGACTCTGCATCCAAAAAGCGGGGATGGGAGAGGAAACTCCAGCTGCCTCCCGCAGGCGGACACACACACACACACACACACACACACACACACACACACACATCCTGAGAAAGCCCCCAGCCCTGGGCACCGGCCCCTGGTCTCCAGCCCAAGTGACCCTCGACATGGCCAAACTTTGTGCCTGATTCTTTGCTCAGGAGCTTGGCTTGGTGAGTGCTGCTGTTACGAATGAATTCCTGCCGCCCGCCTCCCCCATCGCACTGGGCGCTCTCCAAGAGAGGGCTGTGCTTCCACCGTCAGACTAGGGCATCTGGGGACCAGGGGTTGTTCTCTTCCGCCCCTTGCCTCCTCTCAGACCAGGAGCTCCTCTGGCAGGGGCTGGGGAATCCCTAAGGACAGGCCTAGGTGCCCCCTTTCTCTCTCTGCCCACTACCCCCAATAGCGTGCCCTGCTTGCGAGTCCTAGAGATGAGCCAGTGTGGAGCGATGAGTGTGCAGGTATCAGACTATTCAAAGTCATTACGACTACAAAGCTTCCCTTTGTCCTAAGCTGCCTTAGGCTGTTTTCCAAGGAGCTGACCCTACAGGGGACAGAGTGGGCTGGGGTCTCTGAGTCCCAGCCTCCAGTGAGCCAGCAGAGAGAGGCCGGTTTCCTCTCCAGAAGGGCCCAGTGCACAAAGCTGGGGACGAACACGTGCGGAGTGCCAAGTGCCTGACCCTATACGGCTGCCTTTGGGGGTGGCCGAGGGCTGGGCTAGGAGGGGACCAAGCCTCATGGTTATCCAAACCTCTAGGAAGGTTTTACTTGTCTGAGTCAGCTCTGCCCATCACCCCCTAACCCAGTGATGGCGAACCTTTCGAGCTCAGCGTGTCAGCATTTTGAAAAACCCTAACTTAACTCTGGTGCCGTGTCACATATAGAAATTTTTTGATATTTGCAACCATAGTAAAACAAAGACTTATATTTTTGATATTTATTTTATATATTTAAATGCCATTTAACAAAGAAATATCAACCAAAAAAATGAGTTTGCGTGTCACCTCTGACACGCTTGTCATAGGTTCGCCATCACTGCAGCCTAACCTGTGGTCCTGGCCTCAGTTTTCTCATCCATGGCATGGCCTGAATGAGCTTTCCCCTCCCCCCAGCTGAAGGCACCAGCTTCCCGAGATGGTTTCCTCTTGCTGCCAACCAGTCTCCAAAAGAGACCGTGAGTGTGGGCACTTCTGAGGCAGGAGTGTGAGCGGCTAGGAGCTCAGGCTCTAGAGACGAGGGTGGATCCCAGTTCTGTCCCTTAAGTAGATGAGAAGACAGGAAACGCTCTAGCAGGGTCTGGGTCACAGGGGCTCAGAAAGTCTAGCTGCTCTTGTCCATTTTAGCACGACACCTAGTGCGTGACTTGCTGTTTCCGGATGTGCATTGTCTGCCTGCCCTACGACACAACCAGCTCCATAGGGGCCTGGGCAGGGCCTTCCTCCCTCCTGCTCCCTGGCCGATGCCTAGAACAGTGCCTGGCACCTCGCAAACACTCTGAGTCCGGGGCCAGGCGGAGCTGAGATGAGTAAGTGGCTTTTTGTGGAATTCTGCTGGGCAGCCTCTCTGAGGAGTCCCCGAGGCTCCCAGCACCTGCTTCCAGAGCTGGGTCTGAGACAAAGAGGGGGGGCACCCCAGGAGGGGCACATCTTCCCCAGGCAGCAGCGAGCCAGCCAGTGTGACGAGCAGGTACTCAGCAGAGCCCCAACTTCATCCCCCAGCACAATCCCCTCAGGCCAAGGCCACCTGGGTGAGGAGACCTGTGCCAGCCCACAGCCCAGGCGGAAGCCCCACCGCGGCGGGCCCATCATCTCCTTCTCTCCCAGGTGGGCTCCTCCTGTTGGGGAGACAGGACATGGGAGGTGGGGAACCCCTCCTCCTCCCCAAACCACAGAGATGTGTGAAGATGTCAGCGGGCTGCTCAGATGGAGGAGGGGCGTGCGGCCGCGGAGCGCAGAGATGCCCGAACTTTTGTACCAGACCCGAGCACCGCCCCCCGCCGCCCCCTTCCTTCAGGAAGTGTTCGCAGCTTAACCCCGGAGGGTCAGCGCACAGCAGCACACACAGCCTGCCCCCGGCCCGCCCTGCGCGCAGCCCCCTCTCCCTCCAGCAGCTGTTCACCTCCTGGTCCCCTCTGCCCCTGTCAGACCCTCCATCTGTCTTCACACCTTTGGTGGGAACCTCTGGGCGAGTGTCCGAAGTTCGAAGTTCGCCCAATCCATCAGCCTCCAGCCTCTCCGCCCCCGGAGCGGGGAGCAAGCTGCCGAGGGTAGAGCTGCATCTGGCTGCTCACGTGGCTGGGTCCGTTTCTCCTCTTCCCTCCCTCCCTGAGGTTCCTTTCTGAGCCCCAACGGTGCATGGAACATCCTCACTGTTTAACCTCCCCCCCCCCCCCCCCCCCGGTGAACCACGCCTCAAGGGGCCTGGTCTCCCAGGCTCTCCTCTGCCCTGTGGCAAGAGTGCTGCTTGGGGGATAAACCTCACCACATGGAGACCAGTGGCTGGGAAGAGCAGTGGTCAGGGAGACAGGTGCCCTGAACGCAGCCCTGGTCCTGCCAATGTGTCCTGGGCCCTCGGTCTGTCCAGCGAGATGGCTGGCCACGTCCTCTCAATGGCCCTCCTCCGATTTCCAAGCGATGCCCCTGTTTTGTTGAGGCCTGGCCCACATTCTCGGTGGATACCTCGCGTCTCTGCAGCATCCTCCCTCCCCTCCCCCTCCAGCTCGGGGATCCTGTTGTGTCTATCTCCTGACTCTGGAAGGCGAGCTGGGCCAGTTAGTCCTTGGCCCTAATGAGATGGAGGTCATGGCCTTGAATCCCCAAGAGGCTCCACTGGGGAAACGTCCTGGTCTGCAGGCTGCCTCACCCCCTACCGTGTGGGTCCCCAGGGGCTTGGAGCACCACCGTTAGGAGCTCTGCATTCAGCTGCATGTTTACCGGGCACTCAACTCTGCATGGACCTGGCTGAGGGCTTTACACAGATAGTCTCACTTAATCCTCAAGGACCCTAGGAGGTAGGTGCTGTAGCGTCCCCATTTCGTGGATGAGAAAATCAAGGCTTAGAGAGGAGAAGGGAACTTACCCACAAGTAAATGATGGAACTACAATGCCATTAGCCCTGAATGACACACATTAATAGAGGCAAACAGGAATGAATCGAAAACATGCAGAGAATTAACATTCTTGGGAATGTTTTAGATCAGTGGGAAGGGCTGTGTGCTAATAAAACTTTATTTACAAAACAGGTAGCTGGATAGATGTGGCTAGGGGGTTGGGGTTGTAGCTGATCTCCCCTTCGGCCCCCTTTCTATTTCAGGCAACAGTTTCTATACTAATTACATTATCTTGGCAATGGCGGGGGTGGGGGGGTGGGACAGAGAACTAATGCTTCCTTGACCCTATTTGTGTCAGGCTCTGTGCCAGGTGCTCTGACCTGTCAGCACGTGAGTGCGGAGGCACCTTTCCTAGGTTAGTGCCACTCCGCTTGACCACTCCTCTGTTTAACATCGGATGAGCTGAGGCTCAAAGATGCTGCCTTGCCTGACACCTGGGCAGTGGAGCTGGCTTCAAACCCCTCCCAGTCTTCCCCTTTCTACTGCACTGCAGCTGCTCAGGTAAGTTTGTATCAGACCAGAGGGAGGTGTCTGAGAAGTGGGGAGGCAGGGTAAACCCGTCTTGGATTTAATCCCTTCCCCTGTGCACATCTATCCGAGAGCCTGCTGCAGCCACAAGAATGAACTAACTCACCAGTTCCGCAAACTCACTAGAACTTCCAGCATCACCTCGACCTGTTCCCCAAACCCACCGCTAACCACCACAGCCTCGGCATTTAAAGTCGGTCCCAGGACTCCTAACAGCACCGCCAGGCAATGAGTGACTCAACCAGCAACCAATCACACGCGAGTGAACAGAGTTCCGAGACCCAACGGGAGTAGAGGGTCATGTAGCTCCTGGCCACATTCTCTCCACCAACAGGCCAGGGTCCTGCCTTGCATTCGAAGGCCACTCCTGTGAGAGGCGGGAGATGGAGCACAGGAGGGAATCCAGGAAGGACTCCTGGTTCTAGAACAAGCCCCAAGCACAGTCAAGTCCCCAGGAAATGTGCCCGGCTTCCACCAAGGCACTGGCTGGTAATGCCTGACGTTCATGGCCTGAACAGCCGTGAGGTGGGTGGTGGCCAGTCTCACAAGCTCTGCGTGGTCTGGGCCCAGGAGCAAGTCTATAGCACAGTATCTGTTTGTTTCCGGGGGGCGGGGAGGAGGGGGAAGAAGTATGGAAACTTGTTATGCAAACCCTTTCTCTGCGTCCACCTGCTGGGCCACCCAGGCCTGCAGCTTGAGAAGATAGACCCAAGGTGAAGGAGCACGAACTTTCTCCCCAGGGAGCGCCAGCCTGTGTCACTCAGAGCCCTCGAAGGCTGGGCTGGTGGGCATCCGGCCACGGGGCCGTGGGCAGTGGGGTGAGGCTGCCTACCTGAGGAGACAGGCCGTTGCTGACGGGGTTCATGTGGTTGGAGGGCGACGCTGCGTTCATGAAGCTGTCGGAGTAGCTGGAGAAGCTGTGGCGGGCTCCATAGGCGGAGCTGGTGTCTGCGGCTGCGGCGGCCACAGCCAGCCCCCCCTGGTGCATGGTGGACGGCGGGAGGGGCTGGGGCCGGTGCACGGTGCTGCCCCCATCTGTGGAGAGACCCAGGAGAGGGCTGAGCAAGTGGCCTCGCCTGGAAGGGGGGCCTCCCAGGGAGGGAAAGAGCCTCCTGTTTGGAAAGCGAGCTGTGGGCCTCCTCCTCCCAGTGCCCATCCAGTGGAATGAATTTTCTCTTGAAAGGGGACAAGCTGGCTTCTGGGCAGGGCACTAGGGACTGGCCAATCTGGACAGACAGCCAACCAACTTGCCAGGCCGCCTCTAGGCGACTGCACCGGCCCTGCTGCCCTCAAAGCGCCTGGCACACGTTGGGTGCTCGCTCAGTAACTCGTCTGGACTGAGTCAGACCTCCGTTAACCTATCCAGGCATGTCCTGATAGCATTTTTCGAGTAGCAACCACCTGCCAGGTGCTTTTACAAACACTAAGGGTATGAAGCAAGACTATGGTTCCCATGTTATAGGTGAAGAAACTGAGGCTCGGTGGGGCTGGGGCACTTGTGCGAGGTGACAGGCTAGTGAGCGGTGTGGTCAAGGTTTGCACCGCTGTATCTGTTCCTAGCTGCTCGGCTGCAATTCCGCTCTGTCAGGCCCCTCCGTGCAGCCTTCCAGCGGACGGGACCATCATCCTTGGCAAAGGTTTAGTTTCTCATCAAGAACCTGAGAAGTTCCCCTGCTTCCCTCCTCAGCCTCCAGAGCTCCAGCCTGCCAGCCCTTTAAGAGGAGGCCACCGGGGCTTCATGAAGCAGAGGTCAGGTAGTGGGATTCCTACTGTGTGCTGGGGGGTGGGGTGGGGGGGCGGAGGGCAAGAGGAGGGCAGAAGCGGAGACAGGATCCAAGGAGGGAGGGGAGGAACCTTTCTCCTCCTGCAAAGCTCACCTTCTCTTCTGCATCTTAATAAGAAGACCCAGGAGATTCCTGCGACTTAGCAGGTTGAGAAGCTCTGCTCTCAATGTGGAGCTGGAGGTGACCTTGTTAATCCTCACTGGATGCTCCGTGGCAGAGCCAAGAAGTTCAAGGGCAGGGCCTCACCTTTTTGTCTTAATAGTCTTCCCTTGTGGAAGCTGGCAAATGGTCATAAATATACAACCCTTGTTATTCCTTCTTTGTTAAGGAAGGAACGGGTGGGCGGAGGAGAGAGGGCCAAAGGGCATGGCTAAGATGCCAGGACGGGGCACGGGCACTCACCTTGGGAGATGGTGGTGGTGGGGTAGGTGGAATCCGGCAGCTGGTAGGGGGGCAGCGTGGGCATGCCGGTGGGCGGAAAGCCCCCGGGCAGAAGGTGGTTGAACGCTGCCAGCTGATTGGCTCCTGCCTGCTTACGCCAACGCGCACGGCGGTTACTGAACCAGACCTGTGGGGTCGAGAGTGGAGAATGGAGCCCTCAGCCTGGCTCCTGGCGGAGAGCTGAGATTCAGCTAGAAAAAATCCCCCCCCCCCCCCCCCCCCCCCCCCCCACCC